CCCCAAAACCCCAAAACCCCGTCATAGATAATTGCAAAGAGATAAAAATAAATTAATATAAATAATCAATGTAATTCAAAATGAAATATAATTTCGCCATTTATATCTCTTTATTAATCTCCATTTCTAACGTTTCAGGATCTGTTTATCATTTGAATTAAGGTAACTATATAATTATGATTAATGTCTTTGTCAAGATAATCAAGAACTAAGTATTGAAAATACTTCGTTGAAAAATTCAGATTAAAAACTAGAGTCCAAGAGAAATTTAAGTCCTTTTTCAACTGAAAAAATATATGAATCCCATTAATAGAAGAGGTCCCTTGATTCATGTGGTGATATTACTGCTTTGCCTTGCTATGATTGTCTAAATTCTTGGGGATCTAAATATTGTAGATATACCAAAGCATTTAAAATGTATAAATGTTGTTAGTATGGAGTGACAGAAGGCATCTGCTCTTCAAAGGATCTTGAGGTATTATGTTCTGATTAACTACAAGGGCTATTGAAATATCAAGTATGCTATAGAGACTCTCTTCAATGTGGCAATGAAGTTGTATTTATAGTCAATTCTACGATGGAAACATCTACAACTGGTAAAGACTTTAATTTAGCTTAATTAAACCAATATAGAATTTTTTAGTCAAGGTGGAGTCTGCTTTTTCAGATTAAGAACTTATGAAGATAATGATGAAGTTACAATGAATGTCACATTTAATAAAGTAGTAAATTCTCAAGCATATCTTATCTATAAGAAAATTGGCTAATCTGTTTATAATGAAGAACTAATTGACCTTGCTCCTGGTGAAAATTTCACATATTCTTTTAAAAGAGGAGATCTGAGTGATAAGGATCTATACATTGTCGCTAAGGCAAATAATAATAACCTTCCTATAGTAGCATTTTAAGCAATTCGTATAGACATTCCTAAAATTATACCAGATCATTCATTATATTCAACTATAGCAATAAGTATTTTTGGACTAAGTCTACTTTTGATCGTTTTAGTAAAAGGAGTTGAAGTATTAGAAGAGTATTGTAAATTAAAAAGCAAGATTTCTCACCAAAATATATAATTTCAAAATAGATTAGGAATTGATTTTGAAGTTGATAGGCAAAGATTAAAATAACTGGGGGCTAAGACTAAAGCAAAGTTCGAAACTGCTTGCTTCAAGTATAAAAGCCTCTTTAGGAATTGACTTTAAATAATAATGTTTAGACTTTTAAACTGAATTTGAGTTAAGTATAATAATTAAAGTTTAATTTCATAATTAATTTTAAGTAATGCAGCGTTCTATATTGTTATGGACTCAATTATGAGTAAATCTACTTTATTGTTCTATTTAATCGTTAGTTCTATGATGAAATGTTTGCTGTACTCTGCTATAGTTGTTTTGACTAGGCTGTTAAGCATTAAGAGAACTTTAATTGATAGTTTTATCAGAGATGATATATTTGTCCTGGAACAAGTGATCTTCCTTAATATTTCCTTTTTCTTCTTCTTCTCTTTCAAGTTCCTGCAAAGCATTGTAGTAGTTCTTTGGATCATCAGCTAGCATAAGCAGCATATTCATTTTTTGCTAGACGCTTTTTTTGCCTTAAGTACCTGGATCAGCTGGATCCTCTTGCAATGAAGCTACATCACTCATAAAAACATTCTTATTTTATGATAAGAATTTCAAGTATTGGATTCTATTTGCCATCTTTTGCTGAACCCTTTTTGTGTTAGGTGAATTTATCCAATTAAGTAAAGATCTGGGACTAGACTTTTTCTATGATTACCTAATTGATTAAGGTGCTTAAAGTTCAGAAAATTGATAGCTTGCTTTTGAAACTAGCTAATGATTATAGAACGGATTGTTAGTTGGTATTTAATGTCTTGGTATTGGTGGCTCATACATCTTATGCAAGTCTCTCAATGATGAAACATTGCTAGTTGGTCCATTTTTGTGAGATTCAAATTGATAGTTCCCTCTTGATATCTAGAAGAATGCCTTTTACCTTTATGAAGGAATTTGATTGGTATTTGTATTGGTACTAGCACTTATTGCACCTCCTGCAGTTGTTGGTCTTCCTAGCGATTTATTAGTTGGGGCAGTTAATGGTCTTTATTTGAAACTTAAAACTCTTTATGACTTAAGAGCACTTTAAGAACCTCCATGACTTTAGGCCACAGTTTAATTTATTTGTGCTCTACCTACGCTGTGTTCAGCGGGTGATTGGACATAATTGTGAACTAATCTCATATTATCTTGAAGTTATGCATAGTCATTCTTATTGTAACTTTTCTTCGGTTACTATTAAACAGGTTTATTATAAAGTATGATGTCTTTAACTTATTCATGATCAAGCTTTTTGTCTGCTTTACCCATCATTCTATTAAACTTTTTGGGATCAAATTGATTTTTAATCAGATCTTTGAATTTGTATGGAGATTAAGGTCTAAGTTTTTTAAATATCTCCTCTGTATAATCATCAGAGTCTGAGTTATCAAATGCTTCTTTAAGGCCCAAATGATCTTTGATGTTATTATAATGCTAGCCCATTATTTCATACATTTTTTGAATATTCTAAGAGTTATTATCTCTTGCTCTAATTTCAATTATTAATATTCTAGAAATTACATTTCTTGATGTCTTTCCAATTCATTGAGAAGATGAGTTTTGTTTTCTTGATTTACATAGTTAACTTTCTTCGATTGAAAAGCTAAACCCTTGCCTTTTACTGGTCTTGCAACTATTTGGGATGCATAGAAAAACCATATCTAGATTTTTAAAGTAAAAAAAATACTTACTGTTCCATTTTCATCTCTAGAAAATTCTGTTCTCATTTTAAGAATTTCGAAGTGATACACTTTTTAAACATAGTAGCACATTTTATAACACTATTTCAAGCAGTATTAGTGCTGATCTCGTCTAATCAAATCTTCGTCTCCACCAATCGATTTATAGTCATATGTTATTTCAGCTTCGGGTTCTTCATAATCTAGTGGAGCGTAAAACTTTATGATTATAGGTTGACCACATCCCAACTTCGATTTGAGATTAGTTTAGATGCATGAAACTGTTTTCCAATAGTCATCATTAGCTCTTTTATGGAAAGTTGTCATGAATCCAGTTTCATTTACTACTTGAACTAATGATTCACCTTTATCATCAGGTTTATATCTAATCAAAGCCACATCTTTATAGTAAATGTTCTTGTCAGTTACACCGCTTATTACAGGCTTTGAATCATTAATCTTTTCATTCACAGATGGAAGCATTCCATTCTATCTAAGTTTGTCTTTTTATAAATTCTCTGGCGAAAAGTCTCTTCCTCCAATGAATTTCCCTTCACCTTTTGAATGACTTTAATCTCCCATTCCTAATGCTAATACATTAGTACTAGATCCTCCTCCATGTGCTGCCAAGCCATTCCCTCCATCTTATTGATTGATATTTCCTCCGTTAGTATTATTATTTTAACTTTGAAATAAAGATTAGAAGATATCATTTTATTTCAGCATTTAACCCACACCTGATGAGTAATTATATAACTTATGAAAAGCTCCAGCGAAATCTTTCTTCCTTTCTCTAACTACATTCGAAAAATCTTTGTAAATTGATTGCAAATTAAGTTTAGAGAGCTATCTGATAGGCATCAAGCAATATTCCTTGTCATTTTTTATGATAACTTTTGGCTTCCCTCTGTGGAACAATACAGTGTCTGGGAATATTAATTCACATCCTCTAATTTTTTCATTTATTGGTAGAAGATGCTGCATGAGCCAGTGAAAATCTCTAGGCATGCCTTGGTAGAGATGTTCCCTCACGTCAAGCTGATTCTGATAGATATCAAGATGGTACTCAGGCTTTGTTTATTCAATGCAGATAGTGCATTCGCATGTAAATTTTCCATTGGCATGACTCCTCTACTGAACTTGCTGTTACTATTCTCCTTGATTATTTTCTTTTTCCCTTTGTGTCTTTGTAAATGACTTATTTTTCCCTCTATTATACTCACTAGTCTTCTTGGAGGATAGTGAGTTATTCAAGACTGCATTTATCTCGCCTGTAAAATGAATAGATTAATATTAATTTTATATAAGTTAGGTTCGAATTCGAATAAATTAAAGAAGTGCTTACTTTCATAATGAAAACTCATTTTATTTTGAACTAATAATTATATTAAGCAAAATTACTAAGAGTTAATAATAAATATTATTAATTCAAGAGGATGAGAACTTTATTAGTAGTTACTACCTATAATTTTCTCTCTTCTTAACTTTCCTGAAGCCGGGCGATGTATCTGCAGTCAACAACTTAGTGTATAATTATCTTAAACGTTTTGTTTAACGGTGGTTATGCACTGAGTGATTGTAAGGTCGCGCCATGGTTTTCTTGAAGGGGGAGATCTTGAGTAATCATGATTTCTAGTTAGTAATGTTTATTTATCAATGATGAGAACTCTATTCTTATAAGGCATGACTCTAAATGAGATGGATGCTGTCATAGTTACTCTGATCACTTATTTTAATTCTTTTCAAGTCCCTTTGGGTCCTTGATTGTATAAAAATGAAAATGTTTGAGTAAAGAAAATGATTTTAAGTTTTTATATGTGTTAATGGTAATTGTTATTTAATATAATCTCAGGTTGAAATATTTCGCCTCAAAAAATTAAAGCTCAATTAATTGATTAATAAAAATTTTACAATCGTTAAGCTAATTTTAATTGAATTTAAATGGAACAAAAGTTAACTTAAACTGCCATAAAAAATGCTGTCTCACAGCAATTCTTCAATCAACTATCAGGCTCGCAAAGATCCTAATAGTAACCATAGAACTTAAATAAATCACAAATGAAAGCAAGTTAATAAGTCAAAGAAGTAGAAGATGTCTTTAATCTCGAAAGTGAAGAAGATGAACTCGATATTAATGATGCAAGTTTTTCTAAAAACATTCTATCAAAAATCTCAAATAGAACTTCGAGACATCTAAAGCCAACTTAATACGTGCATGGAGCTATAGCTATGACCTTAAATGTATTTACAGTGCTTTCTTCATCACCCTTCAACTTATTCTAAAGAAATTTCTTCCTGGTCTATTTCTTTGTTTCAATATTAGTGACATTCAGATATATAATGAACTATAAGTCTTATGCAGTTTTCGAGTATGAGGATCTCTATGGCTATCTTAAGAAAAAATCTAGCCACTAGCTTTAGAAACTTCAAGTGGAAAAGTTACAATAGCCATTCAGTTATTACAACAAAGTTATTAACTTTTTATCAGAGAGTTTTCCAGGAGTCTTATTTGAGTACAAGATGCAAAAGAAAATTAAGGATAGCGAAGAGTACCTCAAGAAACAAAGAGAACAATCATAAATAGGAAAGAAGTTAAGAAAACTCATAAAGAGTTTGGTTAGAATCATCTTCAACTGGCATCATTTCGATTAAACTGCAGATGATTTCGTCAGAGCTAATGATAATATCTACCTCAAGTACATAAAAGCCAAGTATTGGTAAAATGATGAAGTGCTCTGGACTTATTTCATATTTATGAATTTACCAATAGTAGTCTCTTGCTATTTTGGAGGATTTCATATTGTCTTTGTGGATCTACTCTTGATATATTGCGTAAGTATAATTCATTCAATATAATAAATGCTATAGCTATCTAAGGTGTATGAGTTGAATAGGGCCTAATTAAATGGGGATAAACTATTGAATCAAACGTTGCAGTATATTGAGAAGAAATCTTAATTTAATGCTGAGTAATAAAGAATCAAGAACGGAAAGATAGTCCAAGATTACATTAAACTCAAGCACAAGCAATACGTTAGATAATCTTAAGATGTATCAAGAATTTCTCACAATGCTCCAGCTGAAAGAAGATAATCAGTAAAGTCGAATGAAAGACCAATAAACTTGAGATAAAAAGGTAGTGTTCCAAGTTAAGATAGAGAAAATGCCAGAAATATGAGATGAATTAGATTAAAATATACTTGTTTCTATTAATATAATTGACCTTGATTATTTTAATTTGTTTACTTCCAGGGGTTTTGGGGTTTTGGGG